CTACCATCTCTTAATTCGGATTTGATTTCGATGTCCTTACTTATCACTTGTAGTGATCTATGGACGGCAAAACAGGAGTATTGCGACAGCGGTTTTTGTTCATTCATAGCTGAGACTACAATAAATTTAGGGTTAGGTTTCGTAATAGAAGGGGCTGCAAGTTCGGGGAAATCGTTATTTGGACTGAGTATGCGTTTTTTTTTTATTTTGGGACTGGGTGCTAGGGAAGCAAACCTATTGTCCCCAAAATTGAAAGCCCCGGGGAGTATTTTAAATAATTAATGCTGTTTGCACTTGTGTTAAGCACGTGTTCTCTTATAACCAGCTCAGAGGAAAACAAAAAGAATAATTGCAGGGAGTTGTTGTTGAAATATAACTGAACCGATCAAGGAAACTGATAGTCAAAGCGCAGTCGAAATAGTATCGCACACGGCGAATGCTAGTCGACGACTGGCACTTCATTTTATATAACAAATATGTAATAAATCTAAATTTATAAATAAAATCGCTGCAGAAAACACATTCAATCGCTAAGAAATGACTACGAAGAGGTGGATGAAGGTGTAAACAAAACAAAACAATCGATTACAAATACAGCGATGGCTGACTAGGTGGTCTGTAGTCGTTGGTTCATGGAGACTCCGTGGTTATGGTGGTCATAAGTTCAGCCAGCATATTCAATGGTCCATTACCTGCTGCTCCAATATGATGAATAGATTTTAACGAGCATCACATACCACTGTCTCTGGCTACAAGCTGGATACATGGATATTAGAAAATAAATAGCTATTATCTATTAAAATTATAAGAAAAATGTTTTTTTACATAATCAACTGCTCTTAACCGCACATTTTCTAAGAAAAATAGAAGTTCAATACTCGGAGAATCTTCAAAGAATGTGAACCGGAGCCGCATTTTACGTAAAGTTGGTTTAAGTACTAGCGTTTTCAGCATTTATCAGTTCACTTTCATTTATGGCGCAATATAACAAATTAAACTCAGTTGACGTCTTTTGTTGAGAGCGGACGTGTTTTCGTTCGTCTCCTGCTTTTTCTTTTCTTTAATTTCGCGCCATGGTTGACTCGTGCGGAAAATGTGGAAAAGCCTTCTCGCGAAGTGATATTTTTATTGTGGCATGGCTTGAAAACTTTTCATCGTGGCTGCTGTGTTGGCCCCATCTCGGAATATGATGTGAATTTGTTCAATTCGAACCGCCATATTAGCTATAGTTGCGATCCCGTACGAGTCCGGACTAGTCAGAATCAGTCAGATTTTACTGGAAATCGATCCCGTACTCGGTCCTCTGACTATTGAGAGGACAAAAAAGAGATTAATACGGTTCTCTCTCTGTCAGAAGTTACCAGTTTTAGTCCGAGAATTTTTTGCTGGTAAATGTGTCAAACGATCAGCTGTAGTGTGTTTGGCAACGAAATTGTAAACAAAAGAAAAGTGCACTCTCCTAATTCATGTTGAAAAGTATTTAATTACTTGTTTAAGTGGATTCTAATGAATTTGAAAGTATTTTTGGTTATTTACATGTGTGAGCTGAGTGTGTTTACATACAAAATAAGCAAAAATTTACAACCAAAATTTGGAGGTTATGTTGAAGTTGACAGAAGTTACCATTTTTTACTAGAAAGCGATCCCGTACTTTTCAATGTTACTCTCCCGCTCTGAGCGACTTTTTATTTTTGGACAGTTTTACTAGTCCGAGTCCGAGGAATACGGGATTGCACCTTATATGTGTGAGGGGTGCATCAAGATACCAGGAAAGCTTTGCAAAGCCTATGACTCTGTGCTGGAGGGTCAAAAGTTTCACATTGAGACCATAATTAATAGGTGTGTACTCGTATTGAGAGGACAAAATTCTCCAGCAGCAAAAGTTCTGAGAATTTAGCAGCATTCGCTCTCAAAGAGACGAAATATCAACAAAAGTACGAGAACGCAAAATTTGCAAAAACTTGCAACCTTCGAAACAGCTGATCACTTGCACAGTTGCCACTGGTGATTAATTTGGCAATTTATTTTCTGCTTGGTGCATTTTCCTCCGATTAGGCATTTTATACATTTAAATAGTTTTGGATAAGAAAAACCTTTTTAAAATAAGATTTAATTATATCGGAATGAATAAGTTATTTTTCTCATAATTATTTGTGATATCACATGGTGACGCATTAAAAATAATAGTATCTCCTCCGAGCACCCATCATTGATCCAAAAAAATGTAATAGAGTAGGTTTAAAATTATAAAATTTTCATTTCAACAATCAACCTACCTAAACCGAAAAGTTCAGCAAAACAACATTTCAGCATGCTGCATTTAAATCTATTTTGGTATATTTAAAGGTAAATTATGGTACAAACGAAAAATGTCATACGGCAACCATAGTCAGCACACACTAAATTAAACAAACTGGAGATTAATAGCAAATTAACGAAAAATAAACTCAATGAATGTTGTGCTTATTAAATTTACGTACTTTTTAGTTGTATACTAGCAATAATAATAAAAATTTGCTATAATAACTCAAAAAGGCCATATTTTCTTTTGTTTATTTACAAACATGTGTTTGTGATCAGCTGATTTTCTTACTTGCAAGTTTTAGCTGGGAAAAATTTTTCCAGCAGAAATTTGCAGCTCTCTTTCACATTTTGCTCTCTCAATTTCCCCTACTTTGCAAGTTTTTTGGATACGAGAACGCAAAGCCA